AAGAACAAAGAAAGATTCTTGGAGACTGGACTCTTTCAGAAGGTGTCATAAATGTAAAGGGAAATCCCTTAAATCCCTCCTGGCCAGAGGAAAAACCCTTTCACCTGTAAAGGGTTAAGAAGCTAGGATAACCTCGCTGGCACCTGACCGAAATGACCAATGAGGAGACAAGATACCTTCAAAGCTGGAGGGGGGAAAAAACAAAGGGTCTTCTCTGTCTGTGGGATGCTTTTGCCAGGACCAGAGCAGGAATGCAGGTCAGAACTCCTGTAAAGAGTTAGTAAGCAATCTAGTTAGATATCCGTTAGATTCTGTTTTGTTTAAATGGCTGATAAAATAAGTTGTGCTGAATGGAATGTATATTCCTGTTTTTGTGTCTTTTTGTAACTTAAGGTTTTGCCTAGAGGGATTCTCTATGTGTTGAATCTGATTACCCTGTAAGGTATTTACCATCCTGGTTTTACAGAATTGATTCTTTCACTTTTTCTTTAATTAAAATTCTTCTTTTAAGAACCTGATTGCTTTTTTCATTGTTCTTAAGATCCAAGGGTTTGGGTCTGTGTTCACCTGTGCAAATTGGTGAGGATTTTTATCAAGCCTTCCCCAGGAAAGGGGGTGTAGTGCTTGGGGGGATATTTTGGAGGGGGAGACGTTTCCAAGTGGGCACTTCCCCTGTTCTTTGTGTAACACTTTGGTGGTGGCAGCTTTTAACTTAAGCTGGTAAGAATAAGCTTAGGGGGTCTTTCATGCAGGTCCCCACATCTGTACCCTAGAGTTCAGAGTGGGGAAGGAACCTTGACAGAAGGAAAGTTTATTCATCTTCGAGCTTCCGGTTACAAGTGGCAAACCATCAGGCTCTCCTGGGCCAGTACGAATTCAATTTGTGGGGCTCCCTGCCCAAGTTTGAAGAATCCCTTCAGGAGCGTGATAGGAAGGAGCTCAAGGCGCTAATGGAGGAAGGGCCAGCGGCCGCTAGGAGGAAGGGCTGCGGACACGACCACACGATCAATGGCCTCCGCGGTGTCCATGAGATGGGTGTCGTGGCTCCTGCTCTCTGGGCTGTCCAGCGAGGCGCAGTCTTCCATGCAGGATGTCCCATTTGATGGGCAAGCTCTGTTTGCAGAGGAAACGGATACAAGGCTGCATGGCATGAAAGACTCCCGCATGACCCCCCAGACTCTGGGCCTCTATGTCCCGGCTCCAGCAAAACCTAAGTTCAAGCTGCAGCAGACTCCCACCCAGGCTGCCCTCCCGAAGTATGAGGCCGCCCATAAGAAGCAGCAGGACTATAAGAGACGCCCTCAGAGGCAGCCTCGGCCTGCCCCCCAGCCTGGGTCCTCCAAGGGCAAGCAGGTGGGGAAAAGGCGTTTTTGACAGGACGCTCGGGGGCACTCCACCAGTCCTCATCAGGGATCCACCCTCAATAGAGCTTCCCTTCTCCAACTGGTTGTGTGCTTTCCTACCAGAATGGTCGCGGCTAACCTTGGACCGATGGGTCCTCAACACCATCACCCAGGGTTACACCCTCCAGTTTACCTACGGATACTGCTAGGGAAGAAACTTCCGGCACCCGTGCATGTGGCTAGCATGCACACCTATTGTGGAATAGACGTGAGCAACACATCTCGAAGAACACCAGTTATGGAAAAGGTAACCGTCTTTTCTCACTTTCAGGTGACATTATGAACAAGAACTGGGCAGCATTATCTCCTGCAAATGTAAACAAACTTGTTTGTGTGAGCGATTGGCTGAAAAAGAAGTAGGACTGATTGGACTTTGTAGGCTCTAAAGTTTTACATTGTTTTATTTTTGAAAGTGGGTTTTTTTTGTACATAATTCTACATTCGTAAGTTCAAGTTTCATGATGAAGAGATTGCACCACAGTACTTGTATTAGGTGAATTGATGAACACTATTTCTTTTGTTGTTTTACAGTGCAAATATTTGTAATAAAGAATAAATATAAAGTGAGCACTGTCCGCTTTGTGTTCTGTGTTGTAATTGAAATAAATATATTTGAAAATGTAGAAAACATAAAAAAAATTTAAATAAATTATATTCTTTTATTGTTTCACAGTGCAATTGATCGCACAGTTAATTTTTTTAATTGCATGATTAATCACGATTAATTTTTTTATTGCTTGACAGCCCTAGAGTTAATTTATCCATACAAATAGCACTATGTTGGATGCTGAAGATATACTTTTCTGCTCTTAGAGGTGATGATGGTATTTTTGCTTTGTGCTAATGCAAAACAACAAAAGTAGCTGACCATTGATTCTCTGCACTCATCCTTTCTCTTTTAATTGAATAAGTATGTGTCCAATACGCAAAGAAATAGTAGGTAAATAAGCACTCTTAAGTCCAGATCCTGCAATGCGTTCTGGGTAGGGTGACCAGATGTCCCGATTTTATAGGGACAGTCCCGATTTTGGGGGCTTTTTCTTATATATGTGCCTATTACCCCCCACCGCCTGTCCCAGTTTTTCACACTTGCTATCTGGTCACCCTAGTTCTGGGCAGCCAGATGAATGCCGATGCTGAGCCATTTTCAAGCCAGTAGTAGTCTGTGTGGGTGCGGGACTTTGTCTGCATGGACTTCATTACAGGATTGAGACCTTAATTAACAAGTACAATACTCTTGAAATATTTGATGACAGTAACACAGTTGTGCTCCCCTGCGCTCTCTGCGAGCAATGTGATGGGCAGGGATTGTTTGAAAACATTATTGTTCTGGAATTGAAGATTAGAGAAAAAAGACATTGCAGCCTGGGGTCATGTTTTTGCTGGGCTTTGAGCTAGATGTGAAATTAGAATCTGAACTAAACTGAACACTTCCAGCTAAGTCATTTTCCTCTGTGATTGGCCTGAACAGTGTAGACTGGACCACATTGTTAAAAAGCAGCCATTACAAAAATCATATTTGAGCCTGGTTGGGACTAACTTTTGAAAGTGGTTTCAAAACAGTTTGGTCCAGTCAGTGCTGGCCATCAATCCATGTCTAAAACTTGTTTAGCAGGAATAGTGTTTAAATAAAGTTCAGACTTGGTTTTCACACACTGTTCATGGCCCAGTGCAGACAAGGCCTATATGATGCGGGTGAGGGAGTTAGTACCTGATTTTGTATCTTTTTGCATTTAGGTTACTGGTTAGATACTATCCAAGTTCAGGTCAGTCATGACCTTCTTGACAACCTTTCAATTGTGTATGTAAAATAAAACTCTGGTCTTGGTACAATATTTGGTACAGCTATCCATTTCACAAAAAACACCATCAAAAAGCTAATGAACTCATTTTTCTCCCTTAGAGGCAGTCCCTCCACAACTGAAGCACCTTGTTATGGCAGCATGTAGGAAGCTTGCAGTCCAACTGCTTGTATTTGTAACTGTTCTTTGACTAAACAGCAGTTTATATAGCTATTTAGCTTAAAAGCCCATGGTCCTAAGCTGTTTAATTGCATGCCTTTCACAAGCATTAAGCAATTAAAAATACCTGGGGGGGAAAAGTGTCTGGACTTAATAATAATTTTTAAATGTTCTCCTATTAAGTAGTACAGTATAGTATGTAAGCTTTAGATTGTTCATCTAATACTCCTACTGTAAAATTATGCCCCTATTGAAACCAGTGGGAATTTTGCCATTGGCATCACTGAGCCAGGTTTTCACCCCATTTACTAATAAGAGTCTTCAGAATTCATGTGCTTTACTACCCTCTGTAAAAGTCTGAGAGGAGTTCCCAGTAGACTAAAATAAAGACCATTTTATCTGAGCAATTTCACAAATCCTGAGGGACATTATTTAGTGACAGCATGATATAACCTGTATTTTTCAACAGTTCAAATGATGTCAACTCAGCCTACTGTGAATACACAGAGAAAGATGAATAAGCTTATACAGTGGGTTCATATTTTATGTATCTTCTATCAAACATTTTTACCAAACTATCTATCTTAGTTGTTTAACCAGGGCTAATCTATCTCTTGCTGAGCTGCCTTTAGTGTATTATAATTCTTGCAGTGATTAAAGATTAAAACAGAATATATTTTCAGAGGAAGTAATATAGAGCATACCACTCTTCTCTTTAATGGAAGCTGCTTTCTACTTCTGTCTCAAACAGATAGAATACATTTTTTTCTTTCATAGCACAATTATTTAAGGAGGGATCTCTGCAGAATTTGCCCTTATGCCTTACAGTTAACTTTTTTCAAAACAAAGATAAAATAGGCTTCAACAACTGATAATGTGATGCCCTCTTTCCAACATAAATTTGGGGGAAGTGGCTAATTTGGTTTTTTTGAAGGCTCCCCTTTTAATCAGAGATTTACAAATAGAGGATTGACTGTGCCTTTTAATTGTAAACATTCAGAGTTGTTTTATATTAGTAGTCTTTTCCTTTCTGGTCACAAATTCTGACAAACTTTATGAAATGACTGGAGGTGCTATTTTTCTAAAGCAAAAGATTACATCAGCTGGGGAACTAGCAGTTACTTGAGCATACTTGCACACTCAACACTGAGCTTCATTTTAACAGCTTCAGTAGTAATCATCTTTACAGTCCTTGCTAAAATCAGTGGCTTTATTTTCAGATTGACATAAAGTGCTAATGTGGGATTCTGCTGGATACTTCTATACGTGTCGTGGCATCTGAAAACTCACAGGCAATCTTCTTTTGTATAAAGTATATGGAAGGATGTGCTTTTTGTTCTCCATTATCATTTTCCTACAATTTCTTCTACATCAATCTTTTTTCTAATTTTCCTTCCATGCCATAGGTGAAAATCAATCTTCCCTTTTTGGGAGAGCATGTAAAGAAACAATCCCCTAGAAGAAAGTTTCTCATCCATCTAAAATCTAACTGGAGTTCTTCCAATGTGGAAGTCTTCAGGGTCTAGTTTTATTGAGCACCTCAGTATTAGTCTATTGCGTGTGTTCACTTAGTTGTCACGTGAACCTGTATTAAACCTATTGAGAGCATATGCTCAATAAACGTAATATGCTTTAGTGCCCCTAAGTGATGAAGAGGAGGGAGGCATTCTCTTTGAGAACATCGCCAAGTCTGCCATTGATCCCTTCGACACATCTTCTGGATCTGTACAGCTGATTGCTATCAAACCTGTAGCATTGCCTCCCGCTCACCCTGCATCAGACAGGAGCCAGGAATCTGCTATCATTAATGGAGAGGTAAGAGTAATCTGACAGTGTTTCACCTGCTGGTTTCTTGATTATATCTGGAGGCACACATTGTGATAGGACCTTAGGTTGGTGCATTGAAGAGAGAGAGGAGAAATGTTAGAAGCCTTTCACCCTTTGTGTGGCCTATGTAAAATCCTGTCACAAATGCAGTCTCTGTGCTCAGGACCCACTCTTTCCTTGCACACCTATAGATGTATGGTGCCCTGAAGGAGAAAGCCTATCTAGGTACTTTTACAGCCCTCATCCCTGTTGTATTTGAACATCTGACAGTCATTAAGGGATTTTATCTTCCCAGCACCACATTTTAGAAAAAAGGGAACTGAGGCAAAGGGTAGATTAAGACATACTTTTTCAGGTTCACAGAGGAAGTCCGTGTCTGAACTGGGAATTGAACCTAGATCTCATAAGTCCTTAGACTATCCTTCCTGCTCACAGTGGGATGGGGAGAAAGCAGGGCCATGCCTTCGCTCTGTTTGTGTGCTGGCTTGCATATTAGGTACAATTGCTTCTGAGGTCCCCATAGAATCTTGTGGGTCTGCACTGGGATCTAATGGGGCCATTGACTAAATGCCGCAGCTTGGCTCTGAGACTTGTATTATTTTACAAATAATATTGTAAATATGTTTATTTAGATTTTGTTCTAGAACAAACTGCTTTTATGGGGAATGAGGGAATTTATATACCTAATGTGGAGGGAAGGCTTCTTATTTGCTCCTCCATGCTGCACACTTATGTAAAGGCTAACTCTTTATTGGACAAAATCAACACTTTAAATTGCTAGCCAGTTAGAAATACAATAAAAGACAGTGTAGTCAAGCTACCCGCGTGAGACCGGATTAAGGCATTATATCATGTTCTACTTTTGTGCTTGTATTTTAAGCTCTAACGCGTCACAATTGTCATTTTATATCCAGCGTCATGGCATGCACAATATTCAATGCCTATTTTTCTTCCAAGAATTGTGGGCTGTGTATCATCAGAGTAAGACCTAGGAACATACAAATGCTATTCCCTTACATACTCACAGATATGATGGAGTTCTTAAGGAGATCATAGAATTTGACTTTTTAGTTACAAACCCTAAATAAAGCAGACATTTTTTTACACAGTCAACTTTGGGCAAAAGTGAAATTTGTTCAAATATACAGAATACTGCCCCCAGGCCTCCCTAAAAATAAACATTGTTTGGGTCAAGAAGATGGTTGGCTGACATCAGCTCTCTTCTTCTGTGGCTGTGGATTGAGTCACTGTTATGATGTACTTAGTTCCAGGAGATTAAAATTTATTTAACCATCTGCAAGTCGTACAAAATACGACTCTGTCCCTTGCATTTCCCTAGTGCTGACAGATGGCCTGGTGTGATGCAAGAGGCACTCTGCAGAGCAAAGCGTTGCACATCAAATACACTTTTAAAATGTAGTTGAGAAATCATCAGCATGGCATAGTCATCTGAAATTCGTTCACCTTCCATTAGGTAAACAAAGCCTTGAAGCAGAAGTCCGATATAGAGCACTATCGCAACAAGCTGCGCTTGAAAGCCAAGAGGAAAGGATACTATGATTTCCCTCAGATTGACAACAACAAGGGGCTGACAGAAAGAAAAAAGATATATGAGAAAGCACAAAAGGAAATAGACCATGTTTTGGAACCAGAGGCAGATGTATCTTCTCCATTTGCAGAGCCTAAAAACAGGTGAGATGTTTTTGTTTTTTATATACATCTAGAAAGTAGGCACTGCCTCAGGGCTGTAGGGCAGAAGACTCATCTGAAGTGAAACATCCATCACTGATGACGAAAAGGTGTATTACATATTAATGTTTAATCTGTTCCGTGCCTCCTATTTCATGAAGAAAATTGATATTGCCCAAGATTATTTCTGAATGTTTCACATTTAGTAAAACCATAACATGGTTACAGAAGAAGAAGTGGAAAGAGAACAAAATTACTTGAAGGTTGCATGGTTCCAGGACTTTTGTGAGCCATTTTTAAAGTGATCTAAGCTGAAAATGTGCTCAGGTTATTATTCAAAAGACTGATTATTCTAGAAATGGATTTGAGCCAGGAATTTGCATTTGACTCCGATCTTCTGCAAAGTGCAACAGTGATCCAATCTATCATTTTGTTCTAGGCACACCTGTAATTATTTCCAGAGCTGGATCTAAGATATAGGTAACTTAGACCCAGCAAATTAGAACATGCCACCATTATGTCTGTTGATTTCAGTATCTCTTTCAGCAGTTAATGGTAACCACTTGCTACGGTGCTTTCTTCACTTCATTGCTCTGGGATCTTGGGTAGGTCATTTAATCTCTGACATAATTTACTCATCTCTAAAACGAGTAAGGGTATTGTGAGACATCATCAATGTTTGTGTGGCACTTTATAGCTCGTGGAGGCAATATACAAATGGAGAGCATTCATTTTCAGATACAGAGATGAACTAGTGGAGGAGAGGGCCAGGAGCCCCAACTATATGCATTGCACCGGGGCTGGCCATCCTTGCAGGCTCTGGTCTGCACTAAGTTCCCCCAGTAGTGTACCTCGAGCACAAGTTGCCTTACAAAGCGAGGAGGTCACGCCAAGATCTCCCCTCAACAACTAGTAGAGCCGGCCTTGTTGGGAGTGGCAGCACAGTCGGCATGCTCCCCCATTTCACAGGTGAGAGAGATTGTAGCCAGGATTCTAAAAGCGCTGGTCTTGGAGTATAAGCAATAGCTGCAGACAAACGAGCTTGTTTATGTGAGGGCCTGGAGAGAGTGGGAAGTGGAGTTTGAGAAGCCTTGTCCCAGGGTTTTACCAGTAGATTAATGAAGAAAAAAGATTCTGATTAAATTGTATCTAGTGTCCTTGCTGAAGGGTCTGGGGCATCAGTTCCTTGAACAGGAATTCAGTGAGGGAGGAATACATTGTTACATATGCATAGAAAAGGTAAGATATTGAACGTGAATATTAGTATTTTACAGTAATCCTATTTTTATTACCACAATCTGTCCTGAGAATATAAGTGAGGCCTGCAGAAACATGAATATTAATGTGTACAATACAACAATCCAGTACTGAAGCCATATTTTGGATATTTATTATGTATCCTAAGTGGTGTGGGGAAACGTTTAGAACATTATACATGAAGCTTTAATATTAACTATCTGCTTTTTGTTAGATATACCAATATTTGTTTGTTTATGCACCAGTATGCTGACAGATCCTGGAATACTTTTGTTTTTCTAAGTGTGCTTTCTAATGTATTGTGTAAACCAATGGGTAAGCTATTTTAGACAAAGTTCATTGTTACGAAAAACTGCATCTAGGCAAGTACTCTGAACTGTCAAGGAATGATCTCTCTGCCTACTGGGGCCGAGCCATTAAATGTTTATTGTACAAACACTAGAAATGCTTGCTGAATAGAGCTGGGCTACAGGAACTAAAAACAAAGGTATCATTCCCTGATGCACTTTCTGTAAAGATGTCAGGCATTTTCAAAATTTGGGAATGTTTCTTGCCACAGAAAAATTGACCGTTTTTTTGAAAACAACCACTTTTATGGTCCCCACACCAACATCTAGAATGACATATTTGCTGTAGATACCTAATTTGATATGCTGCAGGACATTTCCCAGCTTCAAGCTTTTCTTTTCTTTTTTTTTTTTTTTTACAGAATATAAGTTTATTGGATGAATACAGTAACATGATATTGCAGCCTAGTGCAACTCTCTGAGAGATGAACTGATATAATCCAATTTCTATAATAAAAACCATCACTCTTACAGCAGTCTAGTTTAGCATAAGACTAATACAGCTTGCTTTTATCATTGTCCAGATATTGATTCGCAATTAAAAACCTATATTTTAAATAGTTCACATTTTTAAAGATAACGTACTGTAGAAGTAGGTAAAATAATAAAGATTTCAGAGTTCCTGGAAAAAATGGCATGTTACCCTCTTGTTTCACTGGTATAGCTACCATTAATATTAATTGTATGTATGTGACTTCCAAAACATTATGGGAGGAAAAAAATAAATTAAATGCATTATTCAGGCTGACCTTTATATATTCAGATTTGTGGAAAACAGCATTTTAAAAATTGTTTACAAAACACTATCACGAAATAATTTGGTTTGTACAAGAACCAACACCCTGTGCTTTCAATTGCTTTGAGCATTCCGTGCATCTAATTCATGCTTCAAAATGCTGCAGTTGTGTTCCCAGAAGACACATACCACGTGATTGCCAGTTGTTAATGTTGATACCTCCCTTCTCATTAGTGAGTCTTCCTTAAATCAGCTAATTGGCAATCTCAGGGCAATTTTTAAAAACCTTGCTGATGGCATGCACTGGTCTCAGTTTTTCACTGCGTGGTATGTAATCAGGTCAAGGGTGTGCATTTATTAGAGCACTAAATGTGTGAACCTTTTAGGAAATGTGTCCCTAACTGTATAAGCAGGAGAAAATGTTTGTTGTCCTTTTGAAAGAAACACATGTAATTCTAAATGCCTTTAATTTCAGAGCATAAGATTTGCCATATTAGATCAGATCCATGGTCCATCTGATCCCATATCCTGTCTCAGGCCGTGGCCAGCACCAGAGCCTTCAGCAGAAGGTGGATAAATCCCTATAATAAACAATGGTCGAATAATATCTTTATCGGGAAAGTTTCTACCTAATCCACTCTTGAGGAAAAGTTTCTTCCTAATCCACTTTCAGTGGGACTTGTGTTCCTGAATCCCTTGGGCACTGTCAGGACTGAATCCCAGCTCTGTCACTCCGAGTGCAGAAGTGGGGCTGCAAGGATTTTAAAAATTAATACTTGTCACTCCAGGCTTCTATTAAACTCCCAAGGTTAAAGCTTTTCTCTGACCTTGGCTTGGTAAACGCTGCCACCACCCAAATGCAAAAAAAAACCCTTTGAACCCAGGAAGGAGCACTTGGGAATTCCTCTCTCTGGGGTACCCTGAAGCCCTTTAACCCCCACCCCCCGGGGAATGGCTGCCAGCTAATCAAACAACATGCAGAAACCTCTGAGAACACCAAAAATCCACACCTGTTCTTAAAAAAGGTAAATTTTATTAAAAACAAAAAGAAAGAAAGAAAGAAAATACATCTGAAACTTAGGCTTTTGTTAGATTTTAAAAGAGCAATTCCAAAAATCAAGCACCCAAAATAGTTTTCTTGTGGGTTCAGCTTAAAGGTTACAAACAAACAAAAGCATCTGGGGTTAGCACAGAGGAATCCGCAAGCCAATAAGAAATAAAAGAAATAACCTTAATTGCATCTAGTTAAACATTCTGATCTACTTACACATTGGAGTTCAGATAAGCAGTTCTAGGCATGATCTGATGATTCATGATCATACCTGGCTTAAGTTGCTTTTAGCATGGCTGCTCTGTCCCTCCAGCCCAGAGAACAACAGACAAAGAGAAAGTTTCTTTCCCAATTTTAAAAAGTTCTACCTTCCCATTAGCTCTTTTGGTCAGGTGCCCACTTTTTTTCTTTACCTGGGGGACTTTTTAACCCTTTATAGGTAAAGCAAGTAAAGAACAGCTACCAAGAGGGATTTTACAGCTAACTGGCTGGCTGGGTGTCCGTCAAAGGGAGCTATCGGTCCCCTTTATATATCACAGGCACTTCTGAAAATTCCAAGAGCTTTGCGGAATCAGGACTCAACAGTGGGTTAGGAAGAAACTTCCCCTAAGTCATAGGTGTTTCAGCGCTTTGTTGATTCAGGGCCCTTAGGCTTGATGGTTAATATACTTTAAATATTTTATCCTAGCTAGTGTAACTGTGTGATATTCTTATTACTCATGCAAATGTCCAGTGCTTTTTGAATTCTCGTAATCTATTTGATTCAAGTATACTTTGTGGTGGTAAGTTCCATGGACTAATTCCTCATTGTGTAAATCAGTGTATCCTTTTATCAAGTATGTCTTTTAAATGTGTTGTCTCTTAGTTTCATTGACTGTCCCCTTGTTCTTGTATCATCTAAAAGGGTAAATAGCAGTACTTGATTGCACTCTGTGCCACTCTCTATTTCACATCTCTCTCTTGTGTGGCTGTATCTGAAGTAGTTCTGATCTTTTCAATCTCTCTAATATCGAAGTCTTTCCATGCCTCTAATTTTTGATGATTTTTTCATATATAGCTATTTTCAAGTCAAGGCAGTTACTTTTAAGACAAAACTTTTAAGGTCATTCATGGTTTATCTTTACCATACTAAAATCTGTTGTCTGGCATAAAGCCCTCAGCTCCATCTATGAATCCAGCCTATTTTGCCCTTTAGTCAAATCTCACCACAAAAACCTTCACACTTTCTACCATGCCATCCCTTATTTATTGGGAGGAGATCCCCTTCATTCCAGTAACCTCCTTCAGATCTGTCAAAACTCAAATCTCCTCTGATGCCCTCAAAACACGTGACAATGGCTAGGCAGCTGAAAGTGCTTTGACTGCTGATTATTACATTTATAATTGTGTGTCTCTCTCTCTCACTGGATGGGGTGGACCAGGGTTCTGAGGTTAGACCGAGCATTCTCTCTCTTTCTCAGGTGCATTGCTAGCTAGTTCTTGCTCATGTGCTCAGAGTCTAACCTATTGCCATACGGGTCAGAAAGAATTTCCCACGCTGGTCTTGATTGGCAGTGACCTTGCGGGTTTTTCCCCTTCCTCTACAGTGTGTGGGAGTGGGTCATTTGCTGGGATTATCTGAATATATCTCAATCAGTTCCCTACCATTGCAAGGGCCTCAGGCATTGTTACACCTTGGTCCCTCCTGTTCTCTCTCTGTGGTATGTAATAGTTTAGGCTCCTGTGGGCTGTAATACTTTGGTTTAGTGTCAGTTGTTGGGTTCAGTGTGTGGGGATAGGTGATGTTGGTGGCCTGTGATATACAGGAGGTCAGACTAGATGTTCTGGGTTACTTCTGGCCTTAAACTCTGTGACTACAGAATAGTTTGTGTACTTAGTTATCCATTGTCTGAGGGCGGGGAGCTTTGCACTATACTGATCCTGGGGTTGGCTTGGTCCCCAGTGCAACTTGGAGCAGCCTCATATCATAATGGCACCTAAGGGACTCACCCAGTCAGGGATCAGCTTGAGTGCGGAGCCCCCTGCTCTCTCCAGCCTGAGGGGTTGAAAATGGGGTGGTGTAAAGCAGACATAGCTACCCAGTTAGACCACAGAAGTGGCAGAAAAAGCTGCTTAAACTTCATCTCTTCCCTGGAACATAACTATGCCAGGTGGGCTGGGAGCAGGTGGCACAGAAGTTGTACCTGGGCTTTCCTCCACACGTAGATTCCTCTACTCCAGGAAATCCTCAAGATGTCCTGCTAGTGCAGCAAGCATTTGGAAAGGGAGGAAGGGCTGAGGATCAGGCCCAATGATAATTCGCTTCACTTCTCCTGAGTTCTAATCCTGGTTTTGCTGGTGATATTCGGTGTTCCTAAATTACTTGCCCCAAATCACAGTTTTCAAATGTAGGTGTTTAAAGCTAAGCACCTAAACCCACTCGGGCATCTAAATAAAATGACCTGAATTTCAAAGTTTCTCAGCACTTGCAGCACCCGTTGAACTGACAAACTAATGTTAGTTATAACTAATTATTTTAAATCCTATCAGCTATAAACCACAAAGGATCCTGGTATTCACTTGGAGCTCAGCTCCTCTGGGCAGCTCCAGTTTATGGTTCCTGTGCCCTTTAGCCCTTTACTCTTGTGTTTTAATAATGGAAAACAAAATGTATAATGATCTCTTCTGTAATTTTGCCTTCTTCCAGCACTTGTGTGTGTATAGAAAGGGTATCCTATTAAAGTGGCTCTTTTGTAATAACTAAGATAATGTTAGAATAAAGGTTATAATTGCAGAATACTGTCTGTCATTTATTTTTGTGCTTTGCCTTCATTTTAATATTTTCTCATTGGATTTTCTCCAGGCAGCAGACAAAGAACTCTGTGTACAGAAGCAGACAGTCTCTGAACAGCCCTAGCCCAGGAGAAACTGAGATGGATCTTCTAGTTACCCGGGAGAGACCAAGGCGTGGGATCCGCAACAGTGGATATGATGTAAGTTTATCAGATGCATTCAATGAAGTTTGCTCAGTAAATCCTTAATTCAGTCTTTAAAAAAAGAAAAGAGAAAAAGCATAGGATAAGCTAACCAGAGTGCATTTATGAGTTTAACCTTAAGGTACATTATATCTCCTCAATGCCCCAAATTACTGAAATCAAATGCAAAACATTTAATGTACTTTCTATTTGCAGCTTGTTTTGCAGTGTAAGAATAGTTAACACAACTTCCTCCTTGAAAATCAGTACTAAATTAAACCATTGATTTCTAAATCTTATTTTATTTTAATAATTGCACTAAGTCTACAACCAGTTATAACCAACTGGCAATTTTATTTTTTACCCATTGTTTTGTTGCCTGAAATTAGGATCCAGATCCTCAACCCTGCTCCACACCCTGGGTGATGCAAAAGAGATGGAAAACTGGGTTACATAGCCATTGAGGGATTCCACCTGAGTAGAGGAATTCCCAGCTGGCACAAAGCCAGTGTAGTCAGATCTTGACTACACTCTTGTTTCAGGGGCAAGAGGCTGCATATTCAGAGCAAGTTGTGCTCCATTAATCCTGGACTGGTAAATGGCCCCAAAAGGCTATTTTAGCCATCATTAGTTGCATTAAGTATTGCCTCTGTGCTGTCCTCTGTGCTGTCCTGCCCCTGCAGGCCTCCTGAATCAAGGAAGCAAAAGAGTAAAACCGTGTCATAATGCAATATTTGCAACCTCATCTCAAATCCTGCAGCTCAGCCATACCACAGGATCTGGTCTTAGAGATGAAGTAAAAGATGGAGAGGAAGTTTTGGAAAAATAAGGGAGTGCTTCTGGGTAAGGGGTATCCTTTAACCTCTGGAGAGACTGACATTTTGCATGTGACTTAATAATTAACTCCAACTGTCAAGCACTGGTTTTTAGATAAGTGAAGGAATTTGGCAATGTGAGGGAATATGTTCAGCAAAATCTAAACCAGGGTGGATTGATTTAAATCAGTAATTTAAATCACCAATTTTAATAATAATTTAAATCAGCAAGCCAGAAACCTTGATTTAAATAATCATTTTAATCTTGTTTTGTATTTGTACTCTTAAGTTATTTTCCGAAACAAAAGTTAATGCTCATTGGTTGGTAACCATTAAAACATCTTGATTTGCGACCCAGTATAGCCTTTACACTCAATTTGGTACTTGTTTTTTTTCCCGGGAAGATACATTATATGTGTATGTATTTATTTAAGCATTTATACAGTTTAGCAAATATTTATTCAGATTCTAAATTTTACTTTTTTTATTATGTTAGAAAATGGTGAGTGACATCTTGCTGAACTGGCAACATGTCTGTATTTTTTATAGATATTGTGTGACTCCGATTGCTGTTCAGTTTGGTGCTATTAGCTGAATGCCAAAAGTTAAATCAAAGGAGGCTGAAAAAGGCTTGTTATGGAACCTTGCAGGAAAGGCAAAAAAATGACAGAGGTCAGGTACGCAGCTTCAAAGGCGTTAAGGTAACAGTGGCTGGGCCAACAATTGGTGAGAGAATTCACCCAGCTGGCTCCATTCAGGCCTAGGATGTTTTTACTCTTCCCAAGTCTAAGACTGGGATTAAAAGGAGACCTAACTCCTCAATGACGTTATAAAAGAAAGAGGGGTTTGGCTTGGGTTGAGCTGAGAGGCTGGCCAGGATGTGACAGTGGAAAGGCTGACAGACTGAGTCACAGAGACAGGGAGGACACTTCAAGCAATGTAGGCTGTTCCTCCTAGATCAGATGCTGAATGAGCCAGACCTGTCTGAGCTGCAGATAGAGAGATTAAGTTTAGGCAAGTGAATATGCATATAGGCCTCTTTGTCTATTTTAAAGCTGTTTCTCCAAGCAATGTGTATCTTTGGGGCAAAATAAGTCATTCTTTGTTCTGAAAAAGTGTTTCTGTGTATCACTACAAACATGCTATGAGAGGATCCAACTCCAGTTGGACCTATTTAATTAGTCATGCATGATACCCAAGCAACTGTAACCTAGGTCCTGGTGTGAGAGTAGATGAAGTGTTGGACCTTTACATCTCCTGGGGTGGAATTCAAGTCCTGACACCTGTGTGAGGTGCACTCAGAGAGACCCGGAGAAGGTACAGTTAGCCCAGTAACTGACAGATGTATTTCTTTCTTACTATACAATTGTTCTATTCATTATTTGTGTCAAGCTGGATGGATATTGGAATTAATTAAGAATGCACAAAAACAGCATTTTAAAATTGTTTTCAGTTAGTTAAATAAACCTAATATAAATGCCAAAGTAAGTATATCAAAACATGTTTTGCATTTAAAACTAACAGATTTATTAAACAAAGAAAGCATTATCTATAGTTAGTGAACTGAATAAATTGTTTCTAGTCACCATGTTCTTCATGGTTTTAGAACTAGTAGACTTTATCTTCTCACAGTTAGTTTTTAGTTAGATTGGAAGAGAAAAATAAACTTTCCTGCTTTTAACTCTAATCTGTTTCTTAATTTTGAATGAACTATGCATTGAATTGAGGCAGATAAATAAACTGAAATGAAGAAAATACACTTTCTGCACCTGCAGCAGAGACTAATACAGCCAAAAGCTGGTTTAGCACATCAATAAACTCAGGCTCCAGGTGCTTAGCCAGTGAGTTCCACCAGTTTGGTGGCCTAACTTTCTTGAAAACTTTGGCAGCCAACATATTGCTTGAATATTTTTTATTTAAATTAAATTTATTTTAATAGATGATACTCAGTTTAGGTCTCCACATAGGTTGTCATTATTTCAAATTGAATTCTAAATATTTTTATAGATAAACATTTATTTAATTTAAATTTACAAAATCAAAAATATTTGATTTAAAAGTCATCAATTTTTATCCACCCTGATCTAAACATTTTATACACATCAGATTTCTTAAATGTTTCTTGCATGTTGACACTTCCTATTGGATTGTATAAAGTATTTTCAGTATCTTTTACTTATGCAAGCTTCTCTAAAAAGAAACATTTAGGTAGCAAACATTTTCAAGTCCAGCCTCCCCAGGTAATCAAAAGATTGAATGACTGAAGAAAAGCAGAACTGTATTATGTGCTAATGAATAATAGATTTGGGTAGGGTTGTAGGTAACACAGCTCTGGAATATCAATAGTTGAAAACTTTCTGTAGGCATACATGGATTCCTGTCATTAACTCAAAAATACAAGAGTAAGGATTTTATGGTGCTGAATTTAAGCTATTTTTGGGCGGCGGCAGCGGGGGGGGAAGTAGCGCGAGTCTTTAAAAAAGCTATAAGTAATGTAACTAATTCATTCATATTCCAAAAGGCCCTAATCTCAAACTCCATGTTTTATGTACATCAAGCATGCCTTTGCTGTTCCTCTTCCTCTCACGTTATAGTTGGCTATGGCTATATAGTAGTAATTTGAATAAAATTAGTTCTGCCTGAAGACCTCAAGTGCATCCTCTCTGATGTAACTGCCGATGTTTTCAGACCAATAAATGTCTAATCCTTCTTTTTTAGAATCCACTTCTTGTGGCAATTAATTACACAGATTAATTATTAGGTATATGCACATAGTCTTGCCAACCCCAACCATTCAAAAAAATGAATCAGGCTACCCCAAAATAATGAAATTGACTTAAAAATCATGAGATTGTTAATTAGGGTTTTTTCTAACCGCCTTCTGTTTTTTTGAGCAATTAGGATCATTCGGATCACACTTTCTTGCTATTCTCTCCACCATGAAGGCTAGAAACTTATTCTTTTTTTTTAAATGTAAGCTGAGAATTCTTACATAATCACTTGTCCCAAACTGGGGTTCATGAACCCCTGGGGGTTCGCAGAACGTTACCGGGGGTTCGCCAGAAACATTTCATTAATGGCGGCCAGAGGACCCCAGGCATTGGAAGCAGCAGATGGGTCTCTGTTGCAGGGCAGACAGCCCAAGCCCCAGGGAGAGTGGGGCAGGGCAGTTGGGGCTGGTAGCCCAAGCCCTGCCCCCGTGAGCGGGGGAGCCAGCCGCCCAAACCCCAGCGCTCTGCGCAGGGCTGGCAGCCCAAGCCCCAGGGAGAACGGGGCGCGGCAGTTGGGGCTGGCAGCCCGAGCCCTGCCCTAGTCAGTGGGACCTGCAGCCTGGGCTCAGTTGACCGGGGCGGTCAACGGGGTCCAGCAGCAGGAGCCCCGTGGAGTGCAGAGGAAATTTAAACTTAAATCCCTGGAAATATTCATTTTTAGGAGGGGGTTCACGAGATTTCACAATTTAGTGAAAGGGGTTTGCGGGCCGTTAAAGTTTGGGAACTACTGCTCTATCACGTCCCCTCTTATCTTTTTGCTCTCTTAACTGAACAGTCCAAAGTTTTTGACTTTGGCCTGTATGAAAGTCTTTCTTTCCTTATAACCATTTTCCATGGATTTCTCTGGACTGCTATGTTTGCTATCTCCTTCTTCTTAAAACTGCGTGACTGGAACTGAATACAGTTTTTCAGGTGAGGGCATACCATTGATTTATATAATGGCATTGTAATATCTTCAGTAGTTGTCCATGGTGTTGTAGCTATGCTATGGATCACTTGATGATTACCTGTTCTGTTCATTCATGACCTGGCATTGGCCACTGTCAGAAGATGGGATACTGGGCTAGATGGACCTTTGGTCTGACCCAGTATGGCCATTCTTATGTTCTTATTCCCAGGATATTAAAAAGACAAGGTTGGTGAGGTAATATCTTTTATTGGACCAACTTCTGTTGGTGAAAAATAAGTTTTTGAGCTTAAACAGAGCTCTTCTTCAGGTTCTTCACAATTTAACATTCACACTTATTCTTGAATATTTATAATTCTAATGTTTTTCAGTGTGAAATGAAAATAAACAGTAAATAATACAAGCCCAGCATATATGATGAATTAATGCAACTAGATTTTAAAACTTGAATAAATGTTCATCCTTCACAACAACCCCCTCCAAAATCTGCCTGGTCATCCTAATATTAGTGTTGAGTCAGGTTGTAGCATGAAGTTCTAGTAAGGAATCATTATTCTTATGGTATAGTTTAGCACTATTTTCTTCATTTTCAGGAACGGATCAAAGCCTCTAGAAGTGTAATGGCTTAACTACAGGGCTGTAGTTGGGCACCTGATTTATTTCAGCATTAGGTATTAATAGATCTCTTGTGGGTTTCTAGTCACTGACACTTTTACGGGCTTGAGGAAATAGGTCAGGATTATACCTATTAATCTTGAAAGAGGGAGCACTGTGACCTCTGAAGCTTTATTAGCTATGTGTATACACAAAAACCCTCCATATTTTATAGTTACTATACTGGAATTTGCCTGTTTGTTCATCCTCTACATAAATAGAACAATCAGGGAGGAAATATATTTGTACAAATGATTTCTGGTGCAGTGTCACATTAACTGCAGGCAGTTAAATAGAAATCAGACTTTTGATATTTAGTGTTTGTGAGAATTGATTCTATGTAGTGATTTGTTTAATTCCAAAGTGCATTGACTTTTTTTTTCTGAAAAATAAGCTATGGCAAAGCAAGGCTGGAATTTGGAACCTCTTAGAAACAACTGTAGGTTCCTGTTTTTCACCATTGCATTCTGTGCCTGTCTCCTGCACCCAATCCTGTTTCCTGATTCCTGCATCACCCCTATACTGTGCTCCCCATGCTTGATCCTTGCCTCTCCTCCAGTTCCTGCCCTTACACCTCGCCTCCAATCATCAGTTACCAGTCCTGGCTCCAACCCTGGCCTCAGACTTCTGACCCTGAGTCTGGCTTGGCCCTTGGCTCTGGCATTTGGTATCTGACCTCGGCTCTGACCCTCAGTTTTGACCCCTGGCTCTGGTAATTGGCAGTTGACTCCGGTGCTGACCCTTGGCGTTGTTCTCTAAACTGGATACCTGTTCCACCCACTAGACTTGACTCCTGCTCTAATAAGCCCAACCGATTACATTCTGGTCCATAACACCATGGATGGATTTAAAAAACAACAACCCACCTCTATAAATGTATAACCATCCTTTCGCAAAGGCTACTCTATGGATTTGGAATAGAACTAGAGAAGATCATTTTTTCCCACTCACCACTGACACCCATTGCAAATAATCCAGATCTTATCCCAAATCACAAACCAGAGAGTTTTAAAGACTGGGAGAGCCAGGGAATGCACACAATTGGCCAGCTATTTCTCTCTCTCTCTCTCTCTCACACACACACGCCCTTCGCAAGTGATCATGTATGGTTTTTGTAACATTTGTGGGGCTAGTCTCTCTTTTGGTACACACTGGACTCATTAATACTAAGAATTAAAGGAACATTGTCAACTTGAACTCTAATTTTTAAAAATTAGTTAAATAATTTCACCTACCTCTGAGTCTCCCTGGCAGTTTTCTTGGCTTTACAATTATATTTACCTATTTTTTAAAAAGATTTTCTTCTTCATGTGTGGCAGGTGGAAGACCCACACAAACAAAGGAAACTGACTAACCTAAAGGGAGGAAATGATGTCCCATGAATGCACAAAGTAAATGAAATGAGAAAGATGAAAATAGCAGTATTTCTCTCTAATTTCTTAGGTGTTCCTTCTTACATTGGAAGGAAAAAACATTCTAATAGGTGTGTGATTTTTAAAGTTAACGATGTCCCTTTAAATGTGAAAGAGAGGAAGAATTAAAGCTTTCACAATAATTACCAATACACACATTTTAAAATAAAGTTTTTATGGTTGCAAAGTCAAACACTCAAAAGTTAGGACGTGCCAGAAATAGGGCCTTTTCTCATGTGCATTATGATAGTCTTTAGTTATATGGTCATACTATTTTTTCCACAAGACTCCCCCTGCCTTATTTAGTGCACAGAATGGACATGCTCTAGGGATGAATCAGAACTGTGTAGTGAAGAAGACTGTCTCTTGGACCCCGGCTTCATTTGTTGCAGAAGCTGGAAGGCTGTAGAGAATGAGGCAGAGAATTGCAGGAAGAGAAAGGATGGTCTCATGGTTAAGGCAGTTGAAAGCTGTCCTAGAGATCTGAATTCTATCCCTGCTTTTGTCAGAGTTCCTGTAACATGCTGGGCATATCACTTAAACCAAACTTTTTACAGGTGGTCACTAATTGTGTGCTCCTCATTTTTTTGGTTGCTTGACTTGAGACCCCGGATCTGAGATGCAGAAATTCTGGGCACTCACAGCTGCAACTGACATAAAAATTGTACTATATGGTTTATATGGTCTCATGACTTATACCATTTTGTGCCTGGGCATGAGATACTTCTGGTATACCTGTATTGAAGAAAATATGTAAAGAAGCAGCACAGACCACTGTTCTTATAAGTGTGTGTGTATATAAAATGCTTTTATTTTATCCAACAGACCGAACCTGAAGTGATAGAAGAAACAAATATTGACCGTGTCAATGAACCTCGAAGTTATACCAGATCCCGTCAGGCTAAAGGCCATTCTGAGACATCAACTTTAAGTTCTCAGCCTTCCATTGATGAAGTTAGACAACAGATGCATATGCTCTTGGAAGAGGCATTTAGTCTGGCATCTGCAGGCCATGGAGGGCAGAACAGACAAGATGCTCACAGTTCAGCACAACACTTACCATACTCTGAAGTTGTGACCAGTGCTCCTGGTACCATGACCCGACCCAGAGGGGGAGTACAGTGGGTGCCAACATATAGACCAGAAATGTATCAGTACAGCTTACCAAGACCAGTAAGTTCAAATATTATTTACTACACTGTACTATCATGGGGATACTGGTGTTCTGGGCTATGTTTTTAAAAGCTAGAGCCCCATGTACATGTGCATGAAACACACATGCACTTTCACTTCTGGTAACTATGTGCACATTTGTAGGTGTGTGCGTGCACACACACTTAAAAGAAGACTCCTAATTTCCAGTTTTAATAATGGGCCCCTCACCTGGGCTGTTTATGTAATAGTGTGAAGTAGTACTTCCTTACATTTGTTTTAAACCTGCTGCCTAATGATTTCATTGAGTGACCCCTGGTTCTTGTGTTTATGTAAAGAGGTAAAATAACACTTCCCTAGTCACTTTGTCCACAGCATTCGTGATTTTATAGACCTTTATCGTACCCTCCTCCATCTCTTTTATAAACTGAACAGTCCAGTCTTTTTAATCTTTCCTTGTATGAAAGCCATTCCATACCCCTAATCATTTTTGTTGTTCTTCTCTGTACCTTTTCCAATTCTAATATTTATTTTGAGATGGGGGGTGACCAGAACTGCACACAGTATTCAAGGGGTGGGTGTACCATGAATATATACAGTGGCATTACAACATTTTTTGTCTTATCTATTCTTTCCTAATGGTTCCTAATGTTCTGTTGGCTTTATTTTGACTGCTGCTGCACACTGAGTGCATGTTTTCTGAGAACTATCCATGATGACTCCACATCTCTTTGTGTGGTAACAGCTAATTTAGACCCCATCATTTTGTATGTATAGTTGGGATTATGTTTTCCAAAGCACATTACTTTGCATTTATCAACATTGAATTTCATCCCACACATTCAACACAAGTACAGTAAGTGGCTTCTTGTTTTTTAAAATGGTGGTTCTCAACATTATGGGGGCAACTGTAGCAGTTTATCAGACCAAGGCCTCATTTACCTGCTTTTTCTTATTCATTGTTCACACACTAGCACATCAGTTAATGACTAGGAAAGTCAGATTTGGAGAAGCTCATGTTCATAGATGGCTGGAGAATACACAGCTGGACAGGGAGCTGACAGCAGCTATACTTAGGATACACGGAGGGTTATCTTGGCAGGAGGGCCTAGGGTACCAGTTGCAAGGACCACAAAGTGTGGTCTATAAAGGATAGTCTTGTGCTTAAGCCACTGGTCTGGGACTCGAGCTGGGTTTAGTTCCGGCCTCTGCCATTGATTTCCTGTGCAACCTTGGGCAAGTCAGTCTGTGCCTCATTTTTCTCATCTGTAATGTAGATATTTCCTGCCTCTCAAGTATTGAGAGGATAAATTGATGAATGACTGGAGTGCTCAGACACTTCAATGATGAAGTTTGAAAAGTATGTAGATAGCGGTATCAGAACGGCTGTCCATGATCCTGGTTGAAAATCACTGTTTTAAAGTTCCCGATACATTAGAACCTCTGAGTTATGAGCACCTCGGGAATGGAGGTTGGTTGTGACTCTGCAATGTTTGTAACTCCAAACAAAACATTATGGATGTTCTTTCAAGAGTTCACAATTGAATATTGACTTAGTACAGCTTTGAAACTTTACTATGCGGAAGAAAAATGCTGCTTTCTCCTTATTGTTTAGTAGTTTAGAACAGTACTGTACTATATTTGCTTTTTTTGTTTATCTCTGCTGCTGCCTGATTGTGTACTTCTGGTTCCAAATGAGGTGTGTGATTGTTCAGTCAGTTTGTAACTCTGGTGTTTGTAACTATGAGGTTCTACTGTACTGTATGTGAACATTACAAAACAAACATTTTCTTTCACAAGTATCATAAGCAAAGCTAAACCTGGGATTAGTTTTGTCTGGTGAAGTAAACAGAACAGCAGTCAGACTACTGGCAATGAAACTGAAAAATAGGCCCTGTAAGAATGTGAAATTACTGAAAACACCTGGAAATTTGCTTCAGAAAGAGAAAAATCAAAAGGCAAAGTTGTTGTTATGGCAGGATTTTTTTGCCAGGAATACATATTATTCTGAAAGAAGGCATTTCTAAAGTTATAATAGAAATAAAGATTCTTGACTCTGTCTATATTTGAGTAATCTATTACTCTTAGAGAGAAATTGTTACAACTCAGAATCATCATTGATATGTTTACCTTCAATGGTCAGAAGAATGTACAATAAGGGATGCTTTTTCTGAACAATCCTTCATGGATAACTTGAAGCCAGTGGTATTAAATGCTCACGTTCAGGGAAATACTATTTAAATCACAATAAAAGTACTCCTGGCACTTTGAAATTCCCCTACTGCAGTTCATACTGCATTTGATCATTTTTTATGGTTGGAATTAGATTAGCAGTTGTGTTGGTCATTAGATGTCCAGTCAAATTACTTTTATAGTAAAGTAGGTCTTTCTGAAGTGAAATAAAAGTTATATGGCTATGTAGTTTTGAAGAGAGACTAGTCATTCTGTTCTCTGCATCTTAGCGTTAATGCTTTATAAAAGGGATCTACAGGATTTTCACTAAGATTTGAAGTTGAAATTTCTCCAATGTATCTCTAAATAAAAACTGGGAAAATGACATTAAAATGCTATTTTTGTTTTTCTAAGTAGGTTGTAGTGTTTAGCTGCGTGACTCCAATAAGAATCATGGTAGGGGCTTTATAAGGTTTTTCAGGCACTTCATGCAGCTGCAAGGGTCAGCTGGAGCCTATCTTTAAGTGTTTAGCTAAGGGGCCCAACATCTGTAGTTTGGGTTGGTGGTTTTTTGTTTTTTTTAAGACCCTTTCAAGCATTCATTTAAGGATACTAACATTGTAGTTGCCACTTCAGAAATCCTGACAGCTGCCTGAACCACGCTGAGAACTGTAGTCTGAAAAATGGCAATTATTTTCCTGGAGACCAGAACTGAAAACCACAGAATAACAGAGCCTTGTTAGTTTGGACTCTGGGCAAGCTACCATCTCTCTCCTCTTTTTAGTGCTCTGCAAAGAGGGAAGATAATGATAAAGGGGGCCTGATTCTGATGTGAGAACTAAGACTAATGAGGGAGAACTGGTCCGGCTTTGACTAGCTGATATTCAGCCAGCGTCTCAAAGATTCTAGACCCATGCTGCTTATTGAAGCAAATGTGAATCAATATCAGTTTTGTAAACTTTTACAGCTATTAAAATTAAAATCAAGGAAACATATCCCCACAGCTAAGCTACCATTAATAATAATAATAAAATAATAATAAACTGAACTATTAAACCACAATCAAATCACGGTCAAATCAACAAGTTAGTATCAATATTGGATTGGAATCAATTTAGTTAAAGTGTCAGATTAATACATAGTAAACCCTAAGAAGTGATATAAAGAGGTGGCTATTCATATATATATATATAAGATTCTAGGATTGTAACTCTGAAGCCTAAGATATCCGAGTCAGTGTAAAGTGATGAAAGCAGCTACAAGCATGGTTGAGACCTTCTCTTTGTTCAGAATATCAATAGGTTGAATCATCACTGGGTTTTGTGGTCTGTTACCATCCAATTTAAGTTTTCAGCTATTTTGACTTTATGAATTACACCCATGCTGTAATAAGGCATCTCTGTATGCCAGGCCAAGGATCCTAGATCATGATGATATCAGAGATAACTCAGCCAATCACTATCCTTACTCTGCAGCTTATCTGCATGCAACAGTTTCATTGGTTGTGTGAGGGAGACTGCATTACTTGACCCAACGTCCACACCCATATACCTACTGCCACTCTCACAAATCAACACAAATGTCCCAGCACAAACCCCCTTAGACACAAATCAACACAATCACCAGCACACACGATAACCCCAAACTCATAAGTCCTCTCTGCAGCACATACCTCTCATTTGCCACCTTCACAAATCCACCCAGCTTTCACAGCCCAGCCCACCCGGGGAATAACTCCAAATATCACTCTGAAGCCTAGAATGTCAGAGTCAGTGTGAAGTGAAAGAAACAGCTACAAGCATGGTCGAGAGCTTGGAATATCACAGGTTCAATCATTACTGAGATGCGTAGTTTATTACCGGCCAATTTTTTAGTTCTCAGCCGTTTTTTGGCCTTCTTCTTTAAAGCACATGGGCTTATGAACTATAGCAATGCAACAACACAGGCTTTCAGCTACTAACTGGGTTATAACCCTCAACTCAAAAATGGCACCCAGCTCAATTGAATCGATAACCTGAAGCTGATTAAATATTAATACTGAAATCAAATTATCTAATGTCTGAGCCAATTACATTAGAGCCAATTACAAGCCTTCCTCTTTAGTGCCAGCTGTACTCAGCCTCCCCACTCATTCTTGCACACTCCCCAGAGTCCCACCACAGCTGGGGATCCTCTGAATGACTGGTTTCCCCTCTTTGGGGCTTCGTGAGGGTCAAAGCAGTAACACAGATTTCGCAAAGGAATTTCTGAACCAGCTTTAATCCTAGACACAGCACAAGAAATATATATAGCTATAGAAAAATAACAAAACCTGAATATAAGTCCCTGCCTCAGTTTCTTCACCTCACCTGAGGGCCCTTAGGGTTTTAATGTCCTTCCAGGGCAGTTAGGATTCCTCTTTTTCCACCTGCCCAGCTCTGTGTTCTTATTCTGGTCTCCCCACATTTGGTGGAGAGAGGAGAGTCCTTTTATAAGGTTTCAATACCCTCTGTCAAGTGACTCCTCTGAGTGGCTTCAAGTGCCTCATCAGGTGATTCATTGCTTGGTGAAGTGAGCTTTAGCTCACGAAAGCTTATGCTCAAATAAATTGGTTAGTCTCTAAGGTGCCACAAGTCCTCCTTTTCTTTTTGCAGATACAGACTAACACAGCTGCTACTCTTAAACCTATTTTATCTTTGCAACTCATTTTTGGAATTGGTATGATAAAGGAAAATAGATGCAATCCGCTAAAACACAAAAGTAAGATTAAGAAACAAACACATAATCAGGACTTCCCTGAATAAATTCCTGCTTGAACTAGCGTATCTCTTAGACAAACATCCAATCCTAATATATGAATTGCCAGTGATGGAGAATCTCCCACAACCCTTTAAATTGTTCCAGTGGTTAACTACTCTCATTGTTAAAAAGTTCCACCTGATTTCCAGTCTGAATTAGTTTAGATTGAATACCAAAGTGAGTGCCATTGACATTTCTACTCAGGGACCTGAACAGTAGATTAGAGGGAGAATAGTTTTTAATGCTATTATATCTACAGTTGTCTGCATCAGAAGTCAGTTTTTCACAAGGTATCTGTGATACCACATTTTTGCAGATATTTAAAACAGAAAATAACTGTGTGGGACCAAAAAGATTAAGTTTTTATTGATTATCACTGTAGGATGCTGCTGGCTGAAGACATTTGGACTTCAGCCTCTGATTTCATAGGTTTGAGGAGATTAGACAGTCTCCTAATACCTTGTCATGTTGTATCATCTTAGTTATGGTTCAGTTGCATTAACTGTAATCCCATGCATTGCTCTAAGATGTCTTCAGTACCTAGACTTGTCTGGGAAAGTAAATCAGGGAGTGTCTGAGAAGAGGTTCAATCTACTGCTAAGCAGAATTATACACGATCACTTGCATTTCCAAGCAGATTAGATGAAGTTCTGACAAATAATATTTGTAGCAACAGTATGGATAAAGGTGATACGTCATTCTTTGGACCATGAGCTGATGGCCATGAGGGTCAGGAAGATGTTTCTGTTGACATACAGTAAGCATTGCACAGTCTCTAGATGTACTAGAGATGAAATCCAGCCTTGCTGGAGGCTGGATGCTCGATTTCATGACTCAACAGTCTGATCCTGGGTTTCTCTGAATTACCTTGCTTTGTGGATTTATTTGGGACTTCCATTGCTTTAGAGTGTTGTGGTTTAAGAACCTTGGTTTTCTTGCCTAGGAGAAAATGGGGGAAAAATCCCCTGAAAGGCCAGAAAAAAGAAGTTCAAATATTAAGTAATTGCTTGCAGGCAGTTTCATTTCAGTATATGTTGCTTTGAGGATGCTTCCAGATATACTGACTTAAAAACACTTAACTTTCAGAGGGGCAAAAAGTACTGTGATCTCACTCTCTGGGGGTTTTCAGGAAGGGATGAGTCTTCCAAAATTGTGAAGGATTTACCTCTCAGGTTGGATTACAGTGACTGAGGCATTATTTTCTTATTTCTTCTTTTTTAATTGCTCAGCTGTAGCTCTGTGATACCATCTGTGTGTATGCTTTCTGCATTATTTTAAAATCACTTGGCCTGTTATAAAATCTGAAATAAAATACCTACTACTATAGGCACCACCAAAAGTTAACTTCCTAGCAGTCAGCGATTATAGAACTGTTCACACAATTTTAAGGGCTGTTGGAATGAATTTAAACAAATACCTTCACTTTTTAGGTTCTCATGTTGTTGTTTTTTAAAATAAGGTCAATTGAAGTTTTAGAAAATATTCATTTTTCTCTTTCACAGGCGTACAGGTTTTCTCAGCTTCCTGAAATGGTAATGGGCTCTCCCCCACCCCCGGTTCCTCCCAGAACAGGTCCTGTGGCTGTGGCATCTCTCAGGAGGTAATTCATTATTATTTTGCTACAGCCAAGAACTGTAAATCTCTATTGCTCTAATGAGAATGACTCCATAACTATAACTTCTAGTAAAAAGAAAAGGAGGACTTGTGCCACCTTAGAGACTAACACATTTATTTGAGCATAAGCTTTTGTGAGCTATTTTGTTAGTCTCTAAGGCACCACAAGTACTCCTTTTCTTTTTGCAGATACAGACTAACACAGCTGCTACTCTGAAACCTATAACTTGTAGTGGCATGTAGTAGCCACCTTCCTCGTAATGAAGAGATGTTAATGAAGTTAGGAACTCTCTCTTTTCATTTCCGGTGCTTAAATTTCAACATGGTAGAAGAAAATAAACCCCAAAGGATCCCATATTCCACTATTAGCTAGTGAGTTGTCTAATAAATTTAGCAAATCTATGCTCTGATATCTCTCAAGCCATAGTTTAACTCGACTTTAAAAAGACAGACAAAATGGCATATATTGTATAAAGTAGTGGATATTTCACACTCACATCCTCTCTGCTTTTTTTTTCTAAATCGTCCAGCCCTATAGAATAGAAAATGATACGGATAAATAATAAAATGGCTTTTGGAACTCAGGACTCAGTCACGGATTGCTGACTGACTGCTGGATATTTCTTTCCCATGTTCCTCAGGACTAATAAATGCATGTCTGTTTTCTTTACTTTTAATATATACATTTTGTTTCACCATAGCAATAAGGCATTTCTGAGCAATTATTGCCCTTTTCAGGTGGATGAAGTCACTTGGCCTTCAGCCATGTGCTGTATAACACCACCTGGGGCAAACTATGATCCTAAAGGACATGTATGCCTGCTGGCTGTTACTGTGAAATTCCGTCAGAATGCCAAACACTAATGGAGCTCTTCTGATTGGCTGCCAATGATATCATCACCTCAGGAAATGCATAGTTCTCATTGCTTGGCTTATTTTTGTCAGTTAAATTTCATGATAGGAGACAATTGACACATGGCATTTCTTAGGGACAACAGTGCTCTACACATAACTAAAATCACTCAGTCTTCTGCTTTATAACACCACACCAAGTGGTAATTATCCAGCATTGTCTGTTGTATCTTATTATTGGATCCATTTTGGAGTTTTGAGTGAATGGGCTGTAGAATTGTAAAAAATACTGTAGAAGATAGAGGCCAAGGACAAAGGAAGTTGCTTTCTATTGATATTCCTGCAACCAGGGATGCCACAGAAAAAGCAAATAGTTCCCTACTGTTTTCTGCTTGGAACTCCTGCCACCCTTGTTGAGGATATTGCTTATCAGTCAGAATTATCAAAGTTTCTTGCTGTTTTTTGTGATGCGCAGGTCAACATCAGATATTGGCAGCAAGACAAGAATATCTGAATCCAGTGGGACAGAGCAGGGCCAACAGCATGATCCTGCATCCTTTGCCCCAGGTTCAAGAGCTCCGGTATCTGTGGGTCCATTGGATCAGTCAGCATTGAACTACTCAGGTGAAAACGAGTGTAGTACAAACAGAAATCACCTCCCCAATCTGTGTTGTGTACAGATGAGTGTATGGGATATTGCAAGCACACATTGTTATTCGTTGTTATGGAGAAGGATTTATTAAATGCTTTTCTTGGTGGCTTGAGGGTCAACACGGGGTACTCTGTCTTGCCCCTCTTGTCACATGCACGTCAAATAATTCATATTTACCAGGAAACCGGTGGAATTTATGGAGTGGAGATTGTGTGGCTTGGTTAAGGGCCTGGGAGTTCATCAGAAGCAAGTATGGCCACACTACTTGTTGAGTCCTGGTTTGTAGGAGGCAGTTGCCATGCAAAGCTTCTGAACCCTGCTAGAACTACAATCTGCCTGCCACTCTCCTAGCCTTGCATGATTGAACACTGTCTCTGAAAAAACAATAGCAGCAACCCAGGGTTAAAATAAGGGGAGAGCAGGGGAAAATGCAGCTTCTACCCATCTCCTAAACACAGAGCTCTCCTGCCTCCTTGTCCAGTGCTGCTAAAAGTATAGAAAGAGCTCCCCTTCCTCCCTGGCTTGTGCAGTGAGAGCTCACTGTCCTGTTTCAATATGTTTTAAATCCCCAGCAGCAGCAAATATCAACTGCCCCTTCCCCCTATTCACTGGAATGAATTATAACTTTCTGAAGTCAGATGAATTAACTTCTGACAGTAGAGGCTAGAGCAGCTGGAGTCCCATTCAAGGGAGGTAGTGTGGTCAGGTAGAGAGGGCACAGGACTAGGAGACCAGGGTTCTGTTCCTGGTTCCACTACTAACCTGCTGGGTGACCTTGAATGAGTCATGTCACCTCTCTACCTCTGTTTCCTCTGCTATGCTTTATCTGGCTTTTTTATTTTGATTGTAAACTCCTTGGGGAAGTGACTGTTTCTTATGATGTGTTTGTACAGGGCTCCAATCTCAGCTGGGGCTTATAGGTTCTACTGTGATAACGTTTCCCCACCTCCTCACAGACTTCTCGTGTCAGAGTCTGTACCACCTATTCCTGATTAACTTCACACCCAGCAGGACATGAAGAAAAAGTGACTTAAAATGTCTTTTTGATTGTTTGTTTTTGTTTCCAAAGCTTTGCCATTGTGGAAATACCAAAACTGTTAGTATCCTCTGCTACAGTGCAAGTCAGAGCCTGGATTAATTAGTGTTTCATTGTGTGATGCACTAAGAGAGAAGATTCTTGAATGACTCAGTAGTCAGTTAACCTTGCTGCATAATTTAGCCCTGCTCCATCATAAACTGGGGGGACTTTGCCACCTAATGTAGGTATAGAGTGCAGCAGAGCACAAGCATCCTTGTCTGTAGTGATCAAAACAAACAAGAGTTAATGGGAGCTGAGTCTTTTGCACTTTGACCCCAGAAGGGAGCTGCTTGCAAAACAAAACACTAAGTTTGTCATTGTTCTACTTGGAAACAGAGGAAAAGAAAACCATGAATAAAAGGGTGAAATATGTTTGAGGAAAGCAGGCCCAAAAGAGAGACTTTCTCTCCCTCTCTCTTCTCCAGCACTTGTTGCATTTATTTTACTCCCTTGTTCTCGCTAGTTTAATGCAATTCCTGTGGTCCTCTCACTAGCTCTGCTCACTCCCCTCACAGTGAGAGTTGCGGCTCTTTGCAGCCTCAGGCCCTTCAAGCAAAGTCTGAGATTCCCCCCCTCCCCGCCCCCCATAATATTGTAACACCAGTCAGCCCGCCAGCCAGCCTAGCTGTCTGTTTAATAAAACAAATCTAAACACCTTCTCCACTTGTGTATTGACCTCACTAATCCCCCCCATCTACACACACACTTACACTCCACACCATGAGTGAAGACCTCATCAGAAGATAGACTTTAGTTAGGGTGGGGATTTCTCTGAATTTGGTACTATAAAAACTTCCAATATATGAAATAAAATACCTTAGTAGTTAATTTTGTTTGCTGCTTGCACTAAGCCTGAGTCTAGCTATGAGGATCTGAAATAAAGAGGTTTTGAATCACCGATCTTCAGGGCGTTAGTTTGTTGGTCTGCTCTCTGATAAATCTCGAACCACCCTTATTACATGCTGGTATGGGATAGTATGTTGATATTAACAAGACCACTCACAAAAGAATAACTAACAAATAAATAGCTGTACTGTGCCCAGCAGGAAGGGCTCCTTTACACTTCACTTAAATGCCTTTGGCCCTAGGCCTACCCTTAAAAGTTTTGCTGACATAGCTCTATTGCTCACGCGTGTGATTTTTTTTCCACCTCATTTGACAGGGCTGTGCTTGCAAAAGCCCGAGTGTAGATATAGTTATACCAATACAAAAGGCCTTTTGGCAGGATAGCTAACTACATTCAAGGAACTTGTCTAAGCTATACCAAAAAAAAAAAAAAAAAGAGAGAGATCATTTACAGGTATAATTTTGCATCTCCACTATGGGGTTTGCTGATCTGGCAAAACCAGCAAATCCAGTCAAGTGTAGGCCAGGCCCTGCCTCAGCAAGACATTTAAACTACACTTAACTTTAATCACATGGATACTCTCATTGTGACTTTAAGCATGTGGATAGTTCCGTTGATGCTATCAAAGTACATAGAGATAAGCATGTGTTTAAGTGTTTTGCTGGATCAAGGCCATAGGTAGCACCACAGAAATATCTCCATTGTAGGCTTCACGGTGCTTGGCCCTGAACAGATGTGTAAGGTAGGGGAAGAGAAGGGTGCAAGGATCTGGGCACAATGACAGTCCTTGCATGCACCAGAGCACATGGTTGACATTTTCAAGGTTGACTGAGATTTAATCACACAACTCTAATTGAGAGAGCTAAATCCCCTAGTTGGCTTCCGAAATCTCAACCCATGAGCCAAGAGCCTCCCAGAAGGGATAGGAAGAAGTGATCCCACCCCCACTCCCAGCACACCAGATTGCATGCGGTCAGTGGGTAATGCAATGGCTTTGCTCCCCTCTGTGTGTTTTGGGGCATAGTGCCTGACTGAGGCACAATAGTGCAGAGACCAAGGGGCCATATTGTTTTGACACTATTTACCTGGCTAACATCTGCCTGAGAAAATGGCTTCCCATTGACAAAATATAACTATTAATGAAAAGCTACAAAAATTTGGCTTTCTAAATTCTAAAGACTAAGACTGGGTCTTGAAATTGACAGGCTTATTAGACATCACTTCTTTAATGTTTCTGAACAGTTTGTCTTGCAGCCTCCTAAGAAGTATTAGTTATCTGCATCATATTCACCATGTACTACTGAGTATAAAAATTTGGATACCCTAAACTGTAATCTGTTGCCTGTAACTTCTGTGGAACATAAGTATCTAAAAGGAAGCACTGAGGCTCAACCCTATAATTTTAAAACATTTTGAAGTATACAATATCCCACATTTTAGAATGCCCCTTCTATATACTGTGCCTTTGGTAGGATATGTGTCCTGCAGTTTCAACTAGATAACATTCTTCACTTCTTCTCCTGTACTCTGGAGATTTATTGCTGTGCTGTATTAAAAGGAAAATCACATATTTTTCCTCAGAGATGCTGCACTTCAGTAGAGGATAAAATGAGCTGTGTATATTTGGTTTAAGTTTGTATAAAATGGGCTCCTTGGATGAAAGTATCATAAGTACTTGGACAGCTGAGAATGCTTGAGTTGTCCTTCAGTGTGAGAGTAGTCAATGGAATGATTTAGGGTCAAAGAGATTCTACCTCTCTGATTAGATAAGCACCAGCTTTAAATATAGCTATATTTTGCCCCAGATCCTGATTCTGCCTGGAGCAGCACAAAGTTGCCCTAATTTAGGTGAAAATCCTGCTCGTTAATTTGAAACTAAGAAATTACAAGAAATTCTTAAGTAAGAATTACAATAAGGTATCACACAGGATTATCATTGTACACTTAGTATGTATGTTTGTTTGCCTTTTCTTAATTAGATGGTAAGCTTTTTGGGCAGAAGGCATGTTTTAGTGCAGGATGGCCACCCCCTTATCTGTGCATGGTTGAGCAGGAAGCTTCTCCCCCAGCCATGCACATCGTCTTACAATACCAGTCATCATGTGCTCTATGCTCTGGGATGCACAGAGGCACTTGTCCCTCTTCCTCCCTCTACCCTGGCAACTCCTGGAGCAGGTGCTCTGAAAAGGGAGCCGGGAAGAGGTGGGTTAATGGCCCAATACTTCACTATTTGCTCCTGGAAAGGAGCTGGCAAACTGCAGGTAGCATTCTGTGCCAGTCATAATGACTGGTATGAATTGCACACCTCCCTGTCCAGGGACCAGCACCAAGATGACTGTACTTGCCTAAGACAGTATCCCCAATGCTTTTCCTGCTGTGGTGCAGTTCCACACCACTCCTTGCTGGGGGCTTGTGCCTAACTGCCACAATCTAGCCCTGTGACTATAAAGAGCAGTGTAAAGGTACAGCTCCCTATAAATCTTTCCTAACAATAATGGTCCTAGAGAGGGAAGTTAGCAGTAAAATGTATCTTTCCCCTCTTTATGAGCCCTGAATTGCATTCACAATCCTTCCGGCCTAGGGCTGCATTAAGCTCCACTGGGAGCTTATCTACTGCTCTCCTTAACTGGGTTGTAGAGTTGTGTTGAGTGTGCCCTAGGGCACTCCCCTAGAGGCTGAAGTGCACTGCCTGAGTCTTCCCATTTCTGAGCATACCACATCTACAGTACTCCAAGCATCTGTCAGCCCTGGCAGCTTAACATTCTTTACAAGTCTGTTTAAAAACAGAGGCTGAGGTGGGACGTCAGAAGAGATTGTATGCCATCGTTGTGATCGACACGCTGAAAGACTGTTTCTTTTTTTTATCCCAACAAAATAGGTGGAACTAGCTGCTGCCAGTTATTCTCAGACAAAACAATACACTAGGTGAAGTGTATTTTCCTCTGGGAGATGTGCTAAGCACCGTCTTGGCCTTGGCAAGTTTCTCTCCCACAGAAAGAACTCTACATCTGCTACTTTTGCCTGCTCGTCTCCAGCTTAGCAGGGTTCTTCTTCTTAAACCCCTTTCTGGGGTTATTTTTAGCTAATTTCCTGTCTTGTGTGGAGGCTTGTGTGCCCTCTTACGCTAGTCTTTTGTAATGACTTTCAGCTTGAATAGAAATCAGTTATTTGAGAATGGGTCTGATCCGAGTGGGGTCTTCTTTGAGCCTACAAAGACAAAATATGCGTGTCAGTTGGGAGAAGGGGCAAAAGTAGTGAAAATCCAGCACAAAAAGACCTCTGCTCTCTCATGAATACTTAGTCCTGCCATGAGTGCAGGGGATTGGACTAGATGACCTTTCGAGGTCTACAATGCTATGATTCTATGAATGTTGTAGATAGATATTGGAGGCTGGTCATGAGATAATGAGTGTATGAGGGGCATGACCACTAACCCATGTAGGAAGGGAGAAGCCATCCATATCTGCTACATATCACTGAGCTCTCCTCCTTCTGACACAACTATTGTGCATACTTCTTGAGACAACTTTACAAATACACCTCACTTCTGATCTGCAACATACAGTCCTTAGCTTCTCTAATATGCTCTGCCTTTTTAGAAAGGGGCTCTGTGCAGCTGATGGGAGCAATCATATTCTAGTTTGTTGTTATCAACATTCTCACAAACACTCAGAGTGTCTCCCTAGGCTGCTTGAGGTACACTTTGAAATGATCCTCTAGGTTTATAGCTAAGATTATCAACTATTAATCATCTCTACCCCATTGCTTCATAGGAAATACAGTACCAGCAGTGTTTGCCATACCAGCAGCAAACCGACCTGGATTCACAGGCTATTTCATCCCAACACCACCCACAGCATACAGGAACCAAGCCTGGATGCCCTATGCTGGAGATAATGAATTACCAGGGCAATGGGCAGACTCGGTAAGTGTTCTTGTTTTTCTCTATTATAATAATATGTCATATGGTTTACACATAGAGGGCATAAGTGGTGCAAAGTGAACTTAAAGAGGCTGGAAATTTGGACAGGAGAATTCTCCCAGTGTGCGGAGAATCTTCAGCAATGTAAAGATGTAGTAGAGATGCCATAGGAATGGGAAAGAGGGGACAGGCTGGGGAAATGCCCGAGACAGGGTGGGAAGGGGAGCCAAGCTCCACTGCACCTGATCCCTCACTGGCTGCTCTAACTTCTGCTTGAATAGGGCATCTGGGGGATTGGGAAGCCATAAATGGCTCTCTACAGCCACCATTCTCGACTATGTCTGATTGTAGCTCAGAGGCAGTGGAGAACTGCGACTGTTAACTTTAGAGACAACATGCAAATAGCTAACTGACTGTCTTACATCCAACTGTATTGGGATCAATTCAGCAAAAAGCCACCATTCCATTTATGTGGGGCAACCTGCCCCAAAGGGCTTTTTACACAAGATGTGTATTGCAAAGGTTCAAGGGAAGCCTTGGCCATGCCCATGCCCTTTGTTCCAGTCATAGGCACGGGATGTGGCATAGGAGCTGCTATGGTGGATCCTTACTTCCTTAGTATCCCCCCGGGCAAGAGGAATGGCACAAAACAGCCAGGGCATTGCCTGGGATCAAAGGCATTTATACTATCATGAGACAGATGTGGTATAAGAATCTCGCATTTTTTAAAAAGCTTCGTGGAAGAATTGTATTTTGGGGAGAGATTTGAAGAGGAGCAAGAGGTTGGCTCATGAAAAGATGGGAATGTTCCACAGCTAAGAAGTAGCATGGGAGAGAGTGTGAAGATGAGACTGGGAAGAGGATACAAAAATGGAGCATGAGAGAAGTTTTAATTTCCCTTAATGGTAAACAGTACGTTTTTATAAAACAGACTAAAAAAAGACTAGGCTTTCTGTTGCTCAGTTAAGCCCAGTTGAGCCTGAGAGTAAGTAGCTGAATGATACTTAAAATCAGAATAGATAGTGTTCAGTAAAAGTAAAATAAATTGTTTTATTATTAGCTGTTTGTACTGTAGGCTATGGTCATTACAAGTTAACACATGTTCATTACAAGTTAGCACATGTGAGCACAAATTCATTATAATATTTAGCGTGACAGTCCATAATCTAAGTAGCTTTGTAGAAATACAAAGATTGTAAGGTGAACTTGAGTTGTTTTTCATATTTGAAACCATTTCTCACAATTAGACTTTGTTTTCCCACTTTCCTGTAAAATGACCTTTTAAAAAATGGTAACTTCTTACTCAACAAATCTGCTACCTTGGTGGATTCAGTTTACTCCTGTTACTGCAGAACCAACTCAGCTAAACAGAAAGGGAGATGTGTTCAATTTCTCCCTGTAGATCAATAGAACTGTTTAGTAAATTGCCATTACAGGGCCAATAAGTTACCCCATGCAACGCCACTGGAAACAATGAGGTATTGCTGAGGACCCCATTTGGCCTATCAGACCTTTATTACTGCCACATGAGAAGGAAAGAACCAAGCTGGACTCTGATTCCAGGTTGAATTTGTAGCACGGGCCATTGGAAAAAGTATCTTTTGAAGAGTCCTGAGGATATGGTGCCCTGTGGTGTCATTTTTAAAGTCTCTTTTCAGAGGAGAATTTCAGTTATTAAATTGTGGTAAGCCTGGTTTGTAACCCTACTGACTCTTTCAAATTTAGGAGGCCCCTTGGAACCATATCAATGAGTTTAGACTTCTACTTTGAAAAACATAGGTGAAGTATTTAATTTTTACCTCTTTCCTTCCTATGGTCCTACTTTCTGTCTATAGCCTAAGGAAGTGATGGCCAGATCTTATTTGCCACGTAGTGGGAACTGGCGGCTCTAAAGAAGGTGAATGGAGCTGGAGGGAAACTCCGGCCTGCTATTCCTTCCTTTGGAAGGGGATACGCTCTGGTAAGGCCAGAGAGCCTGGGTGGTGGAGAGAGGGTCACAGGAGCGGTATTGGGGCAACTGCTACAGGCAGTAGTCCCCAACTTTGTATATGAGGAGGCAAAGAGGAAGCATTGGGGGAGGGAGGGCTCCCAAAAGATCATTGTGGCAGGAGGGGGTATGAATCCCTCTCCTAGAGGAGAAGGCAGCAGATTTCCTTCAGCTACATTTACCCTTCAGAGCTTTTAGCCCCTACCTCCTCGTAAACAGGGGGCTGGCATCTCCTTATGAGCCCACAGCCAGAAAATGGGGTTACTTAGTAGGCAAGAGAAAGAAAAGAAACAATGTGGAAAAAAATCCCCCCCCCCCCTTTTTAACCAAGATTCTGCCCCCAAATGATTTATATCATGCCCAGGGATCTCCTGAATCTGAAAATTGTCACTATGGAATAGAATCACAATATTGCCAATTCAATATGTTCAAAAATATTGGTCCTCATGAATTGGTCCTCAAAAATCATGAAATTAAAAATAAAACATTTTGAGTTTCTCTGTCTTCTGGTTTGTGAGTTTTTAGAATGCACTTGAGTCTTGGTTTCATGCTTTCTTTTTGAAATCATGAGGGCTAGAACCTTACTTTTTTAAAAAATGAAAACTGAGATTCTCCACTAATCGCATGCCTCCTGGAGCTGGGGCTTTAAAAAACACCAAATATGGGTGAAATTGTGAGAATTTACTTTAAGCTTCATTTACTTTAATGCACTTCTTTCTCAAAGAAAAGCAAAGATTTGAAACTTTATATTTGGTGGAGGAAGGGAAATGTATCTGGCGGGGCTATGATCGTCCAAGCAAATCTTCAGTTGTTGCTGAGTAAAAGCCATAAAATAGTGACCTCTAGTGGTTTTTATATATTGTTCAATAGGAATGCTTCCTATGTGATCAGTCCAATTCTGTACTAAACAGGGGTGCAGCCTCCTGGCTGTATTTAAATACAACTTTCATCTAGTACTCAGGCAAATACTATGCCTGGTGGATTTTATATTTTGTGCAACAAGTGAATGGAAATACCCTGAATCGTGCAGCACATATGTAATATGAGGGACCAGATTTTCAAAGATACGTGCCTGAAGATGCAAATAGGCATCTGATGGGATTTCCAAAAGGCCCTAAGCAGTTAGGCGCGTAACTCCTATTGGTTTCAATAGAAGTTTGTCCCCTCTCCAGCCCTAAGCAGTTAGGTGCGTAACTCCTATTGGTTTCAATAGAAGTTTGTCCCCCCTCCCCACCTGTTTAGGTGCTTTTCAAAATCGCACTGGGCACCTATTTGCAACGTTAGACACCTCATATCTTTGAAAATCCATCCCTTAGTGACCAGATTTTCAGAAGTTCAGTACCCAAGAGCTCCCATTTATCACCTAAATAAAATGGCCAAATTTCCAAAGGTGCTCAGCTATCAACAGTTTACCCAACAGCGATGATTGCTCTCAGTGGAAGCTGCTCAGTACCGAACACTTTGGAAAATCTGGCAACTTCGTTTAGATGCCTAAATGGGAACGAAATTCATTTGAAAATCTGGCCCTGTGTCCTTTTCTATTTAAAAGTAAAAGAATTATCTATTTAAAAGTAAAAGAATTTCTATGTTTATGCATTTTAATGGCTTTTCTATTGATTTATGATGACCATAGGATTCTGTGCCAATCACTTCTTCAAATCTGAAAATCAGTGAGATTCTTTTTCATTTTTTCTAATTGGATTTAAAATGGTTACTCTGTATCAGTAAACTCTTGGGTAAAGTTACTTTGTCTAATTAAGAAAATGAACCAGAACTTTAAACACAGTGGCTTAAAACATCCCTTAAAACTAAGCACTGTCGTTTCTTTACCAATTTGCTAGGCAGTTTGCAAAACAAATAAAATTAGTTAGAAGCTGAGTTCTAAAACGTCCTCAAATTCAGTTTTTGATAAGAATTTAGAGCTTGCCATTGTGGATCATTGTGTTGCACCAGCAACATTTAGTATCCTGTAGGGACGAAGGGCCTGATTCCTCACTGCTACTCTAGTTTAAGCCACTGAAACTCCACTGAAATCCACAGAGTTAGGGCAAAGTAAAACTGAAATGTAACTGTGGCATATCTGGTCCAATGTGGGAATAAAATCTTCCAATTACCATTATTTATGATTGACACGATGGGCCATATTCATCTCTGGTATAATTGCAGTTGAGTTAAGAATTCCACCGGCATTGAATTTGGCCATAAAACCTGATGTTTCAGAGAAGTCAAAGCTCCTTGTCCAATAAAGCACATAGCCAGCTGTGTAATGATGGGTTTCGGGGATATAGAGAGAGAGGATTTTCATCCCAATTTTAGCAGACAGGTTGAACACTTCATTTTCCCCTTAGTAAATGGTGAGGCAGCTCCTTAGTGTTGAACTCATGAACTCATAGTCTTTAAGGTCAGAAGGGACCATCATGATCATCTAGTCTGACCTCCTGCACATTGCAGGCCACAGAACCTTACCCACCCACTCCTGTAATAGACCCATAACCTCTGGCTGAATTACTGAAGTCCTCAAATTATGATTTAAAAGACTTTAAGTTACAGAGAATCCACCATTTACACTAGTTTAAACCTGCAAGTGACCCATGCTTTATGCTGCAGGGGAAGGCGAAAAAAACCCAGATAGCCTGTCTCTAATGCTATGTCCACTGTCAGTTTTTATTGGAAGCATTAAGACTCAGAACCTGGCTGCTTGCTTGATGTGGATTAGACAGTGGTGCTTCAAGCCAGCAAACTCCTTTCTTCTTTTCTTGGCTTTTTAAGTATAATTTATGCCTTAGATTTATCACAGTATCCTGAAAAATATCTCTGTATTGAAATCAGCTATAGGAAAACAAAGCATCATACAAAATAATAAAGGGACACTCTTTCAACAAGGCATCCATCTGCCCTTGTAGTGGTGATCAGTTTAGCATGTACAGGTTTTTTTCCTCTGCAAAGAGAATTTGTTCACACAATTTGAATAGCTAGGAACTTAACAGTGATTGTTGCTTACAAACAGCACATACAAAAATGTACACAGTGAAGTGGCACTATGAGTATGAAGTCTGCTTTCTGTTAACTTGGACCCAGGTGGGGTAGATTGAGTAATAGGTGAGTTAAAAGGTAGCTGAATGGGATGTTTATTTCCTTTTTTGTATTGTTCCCTCTTTTTTGTTTGGTGGCACCACCGCCTTTTCACGATCCCCATCCCTCTCCCACAACCCTCCCCCCCCTCCTCCCCCCACCAAACAACCCACCATCAAGCCTGCGAGAGTGCGGCATGGGCTCTTTCCTGCTCCTTTGCATTGTACCCGGTCAGATCACTTAACCTTCTCTTCTATCCCTTACCTCTATTCATACTTTTATTTTCTTGTATGGAGGAGGAGAGAAGAGGAGTTGGGCAAGCGAGCAAAGAAACGAAATAAATTGATTGGTTTGAAATCTATGTGTATTGTGTTTATTTTTTTTATTCTATTTTGTTGATAGAGGTAAGTAAGTATTTTTATATTATTTTTTAATTAAATGGGGGGAAATTTTTTTATTTTTTTTGAAAATTAAGTGTAATGTGATATGTAATAAATTAGAAAAAGAGGAGGAGAAGATGAGGAGGATGTGTGTTTGTTGTGTATGGGGTGGGTGGGAAGGGCCCCATTTAATTTTTATAATTTTAATTTTTTTATTTAATATTTTTATATTTTTTTTTTTTTTCCTTTGTCTTTTTCTTTATTTTCTTTTTAATGATATTAATTATATGTATTTCAGTATATTATTAATAACAAAAAACAAGAGAGTAGAAAAGTTGAATATAATAATCTAATATCTCTATTTTATTTTTATTTTTAAAATAAAAAAAGAAAATATTGTGTTAGTGAACCAAAAACCATAAATTCTTTTATAATGAAAATAAATTTATTATTCATTAAAGAAAAAGGAGGGCTGAATGAAACAAACCAAAGTCAGTCTTTTTCTTTTCTAAAAACCAACCTTCAACCACCAAATATTTGAGGTTAATAAGTAATATAAACAATGTAACTAGTAAATAATCCCAACCCTGATGTTATAAGGAGCACAGGGGCAAAAAAAGAGAAAGGCGAGAAAAGAGAGTATATTGTGGGGGGGTGTTTTGGGGTTTGTGTTTTATTAATGGCCTTTTTAG